ACTTTGTGGGTCAAGACCCAGTTGCACCGCTGGTGTCAACAACAAGGTGTTACCTTTTGTCACCATGGACCCTTTCTGATGATTAAGGACTGCTAGGAAGAGACAGGATCCACCTGGGCACATGGGGAAGAAGCATCCTTGCCAACAGACTGGTGAGGGGAGCTATAGCAGGAAAGCGAGATGACAACCTACAAGTGAGCGAGGAAGTGGACTGGGTTGACAAGCAAATGGTGTGGGATTAGATGGACAGGAAACACCCTGAAAATAACAAATCAGGGCACAAGAGTGACCGTTACAAGTGTGTCCACACAAATAAGAAAATGGTGAGGGGACATAATGTGGGGAAGCTCTCTCACCTTTTCTGGGAAATCAACACAACTGTATGACCACATGTACACCAGCAAACACAGTGTGGGCAACAAACAAGGAATTAGAGCTTTACATGCACTTGCAGGACTATGATCTCATTGGGATCACAAAGGCACGGTGGGATGGCTCACATGACTGGAATGCTGCAACAGCTGTATACAGGCTTTTTGGGATCGACAAGTGGGGATGACAGGGGAGGAAAGTTGCCCTTTATGTGAGAGACCAGTGAGAATGTGGGAAGTTCTTCCTAGTGATGGATGATGAGCCAGATGAGAGTTCATGTGTCAGGATTAGAAGGCAGAACAACACAGGTGATGTTGTGGTGAGTGTATGGTATTGACTGCCTGATCAGGGTGATCAGGCCTGATGGAGACAAAGCCTCCATCAGACAACTGGAAGAATCTTCACATTCTGTGGTCCTCATGGGAGAGTTCGACCACCTGTTATCTGTGGAGGAGCAACACAGCTCGGCATAATCAGTGTGGGAGGTTTCTGGACTGCATTGATGAGAACTTCCTTACTCACATGATTAAACAACTGAAGAGAAGATGCAGTCTGTTCGACCTCAGGCTTACAGAGAAAGAAGAACTTGTTTGGGTTGTGAAGATCAGGAGCAACCTTGGCTGCATAGTGACGTTCATGATCCCAAGAGAAGGGAATAAAAGCAAAAAAAACCCAGGATCTGGGCTTCAGAAGAGCAGAATTTGGCTTGTTCAGAGATCTGCTTGGATGAATCCCAAGGATGACGGAGAAAAAATTTTCAAGCAAAACCTTCTCCAATGGTCCATCAAGACAAGCGGGAAATCAAGTGAAATGCCAGATGGCCTTCATGGATGAACAGGAAACTCCTGACTAATCTCAAACATAAAAAGGAAGCATAGACAAGATGGAAGCAGGGGCAGTTGACCTGGAAGGAACCTTGAAACACTGTCCAAGCATGAATGGGCTAGGAAAGCCAAAACTGACCTGGAGTTGAATCTGGTGGGTTAAAAGAATTCATTGGTTTTGGTTTTTGCAAATATTCCCCCACCTCTATAAGCCAAAAATACTTCATCTTCTCAGCTACTATTCCCTAATCCTATGCCACTGCAGCAACCACTGCAAAATTCAATTTAACTGAAGTATGGTATTATCTCTAGTATCATCCATAACTGCTGTGGCATCCAGTAGTTAAATCCAAAATTTTTGTGACTTGTTGTTTTGTTTCTCAAAGTGTAAATGTGATGGATGGAATTTTGATTTAATGGAATTTTGAAATCACTACAGGCTGCAATTGCAGGGGAAGTGCCAGTTTTAAAATATTCAAAATTAAGGAGACAGTACAGACTAGCACAGATTAAATAATATTTTACTTGGGGAAATACGTGTTAGGTTATGGAATGAACATGGGTAGGTAAAAAGCAGAGGGTAAAAGGAATTACAGATTTAGATAATTACACTTCCAAATGTTCTAAAAGAAATCATTCAGAGGTGATTAATATTTTAAGTTCTGAAATTTCCCCGTCTGCTGAAACCTCTTTCTGCTGCTTATGTTTCTAATGATGAACCTTTCTTTCAACTTGCCTGTCAGACAGGAATATAATTTATGACTTAATAAGGACAAAATGAAATTGAAAGGAAACATTTTGTAAAAAATACTGATGATATATAGATTTCTTACATTTTCTTACCTAGTACCAAGCTGCATAGCACACTTGTTATGAAGTAAACTGTATCTTTCCTTCTTCTCCAACACATAAAACAATCCATTAGAAGCAGGGCAGCAATACCCCACAACATGTCCTCACACTGCACTCCTGGGCACTATAATGCTGCTGGGCAGCACAAGTGTGACCCCTGTCCATTGCCTTGGCACCCTTGGCTTTCCCTCCTGAGAAACATTGGCTCAAATAGTTGTCCTTAGGAGCTGGTTTGATTTTTCACACCCTTTCCTTTCCCCTCTCCCCTGCCTTTTTTCTTCTCTGTGGCTTAAAACACGATATTCTTTGCTCTGTCTAAAGTCTGACCCTCAGGACCCTCATGGAAGATATGAGCAGGTGGACACAAATGCATGCACACGCACGAGTGCGGTGACGTAGTTTCTCAGTATAGCATTTCTCTTCAACCACTATCAGACAATATGGATCATTAACAATAAGTGAAGGCTGAGCACGGTCTCCTGTGTCACTCTACCTCTCTGCTCATTGAACTCCTATTGCAGGTAAATTCCCTTCATCCTGAAGTGACGAAATGCCTGGAGACGATGAAACTGAAATTCTGACCTCTTATATTTTCAAGACTCTCCTGCAGATGAATTCTGGGATAGTGTTTATATGCTTTTATCAGATGACTTCTTCACCAACAACCCCATTCTCCTTGCTAGAAGTTCATGAATGTTTATATCTGAAAAGAGAATGTTTTTTTCATTCTTATTAGCACTTTACTCTTTCTCTCTCCCTCTCTTTGGATTCTCCTTTTCCTTGCACTCTAGATAACTAAAGTTCAGTTTAAAAGAGTAAAATAACAGCAAAGAGCAGTGGAATATGCATAAACAAACAGAAGGTGGCGAGTGAATTAAAATTGCATGCAAAGTTTTTATAATATCATGCAGAATTAATAATTGGTACAGAAAGATGCACCAGATTGTCACAGTATAACTTAATATATATCTAAAAGGGTGTTTTAAAGGTATAGGAGTATAAATGCTTTCATTTTAACCTTTACAATCCAAACAGTAGTGCAATCAGAAAAATACATCCTTTTCAAACACCATACTACTGTTGGTTTCTGAGTCTGGTGGTAGAACTGGTGTCAGTAGCTCATTAGAAATTAAGATCTTTATTGTTCCAACTTTTTTAACAGCTACGCATCCTTATTTTCCTGTCTCATTCAAAAAAGGACAAAACCATTTTTTTAGAAACTCAACAAAATTGCATGGAATGTGCTAATACAGTTGGAAGACATTAGTTTGGGAGCTAAATATAATTCCATATTTAGCCTATTCAGGAAGGGTGAAAGGATCAGTCTTGAAGTATTTTCTCATCTGAAAGTTGATTTTCTTGGTGAAAAGAAAAACCCCAGAGATAGTTCATCTTCATAAAATTGTAAGCCTCCTTTTCATCTGCAATTTATTTTCCCACTTCTTATAAGCAGAGGAATAAGATTGCACTTTTATGCGGAGCTTCAGTAAACCAAGTAGGACCTGGGAAATTGTCTTTGCTGTGCTAAGTTAGCTTTGCAGTTTTGAAAAATACACTAAGGTCATTAGTTATTTCTGATGAGGAGCATTACTTCCTAGGGGCAGCTACTTTGACGGTAACTCTGTTACCATCAATCTGAGCAGTACAAACTTGTCCTGACCTTGTGGTACCTGGAAAATATCTGTGAGCTGGGATGGCTGAGGGTGGGGTGGGACTCCCCGCGTTTGTTGCTGGGCAGTGTGCGCATTTGCCCACAGCAGCTGATGCAATTCTCTCTGTATAAAAGCAGCTCTGGTAGCACTTAACCTCTGTTAAGATTTAAGCCTCAGCAGAGATGCAGAAACATGCAAAGCTAGAGGTGTGTTTCAATGCATTTTATTTTACTGTGCTGAATTTTGCTCTTCTGAAGTTCCAGAACTGATGTTGAAGTATGAATTTTATTTCTTTTGTATATGGTTTTAAGAGGTATGCATGACATTTATGTGTAGTCCAGAGTGAAACTCTGCACCTTGTGTAAGATTATAAATCTGGGATTGGTAAAACCTGCAGTGAACAGTAATTAAAATGTCACAGATACTGACTTTAAAAATTAATAATGTAGCTGAAAACAAGGCCAGGGATCACAGAATCACAGAATTTTTAGAGTTGGAAGGGACCTCTAGAGCTCATCTAGTCCAACTCCCCTGCTAAAGCAGGATTGCCTACAGCACATTACTCAGGACTGCATCCAGGCAGGTTTTGAAAATCTCCAGAGAAGGGGACTCCACACCCCCCCTGGGCAGCCTGTTCCAGTGCTCTGTCACCCGAACCGTAAAGAAGTTTTTCCGTGTGTTGGAATGGAACTTCCTATGTTCCAACTTACTCCAATTGCCCCTCGTCCTGTCACTGGGAACCAGTGAGAAGAGTGTGGCTCCATCCTCCTTCCACCCACCCTTTAGATATTTATAAGCAATAATAAGGTCTCCCCTCAGCCTTCTCTACTCCAGGCTAAAGAGTCACAGCTCTCTCAGCCTTTCCTCATAAGGGAGATGCTCCAATCCCCCTCAATCGTCTTGGTTGCCCTTCGCTGGACTCTCTCCAGCAGTTCCGTGTCCCTCTTGAACTGGGGAGCCCCAAACTGGACACAGTATTCCAGTTGTGGCCTCACCAGTGCCAAGTAGATGGGGAGAATGACCTCCCTCGACCTACTAGACACACTCTTCCCTATGCAGCCCAGGATTCCATTGGCCTTTTTTGGATCTAAGGAACTTTCCTTTGAAGCAACAAACCCAGCTAATTCTATTGAGACTAAAAGAATGACAGAAGCCAAAAAGTATAATGACTTTACCCAAAAGAATGGGGACCAAACTTTTACATGACATTGATTTCAATTTTTACTTGCTTATAGCAAAGGCACTGGGGTGGGTGGTGGGGAAGATTATACCATTATTTTATTTTCCCTCCAAAAGGAATTTCTTAATTTCAACAATTTCCCTGCCACAGAAGCTCATTTTAGTTGCTTGATCTTTTAAATCCTGGGAAGTTAGTTTACACTGTTTTATACCTCTGTATTTCTGAGATTTGCCTCCCAAGAAAAATTCTGAAAGATTATGTTTTTAAAAATAGGAAGGCTTACATTTTTGCTCCTTTTATGTCTCATTGCCCTAAAGCCGATAGAAAAAAGCATAACTGCAAGATATGATGAGATAACATTATGCCAAGGGATGCGGGGAGGATATCAAATACAGACCACTTCTTTACTAAGCAGAGGTAAGTGCACCTACCATGGGTGCTCCCACCTCCTCCTATGTTCTGTCCAGGAGGAAGATGACGTGGCCATGGCAGCGGGCAGAGGAGGCAGCAGTGGCAGTGGCCGGAATGAGCAGAGGGCAGGGGAAGTCTTTTTTTGTCAGATGCGATGATACATATATTTTTTTAGCGTTTCTGAAATGCTCACACGTGGTGTGTCACCTTGGGTTGTGCGTGTGTGTGGGTGAAGGTAGGTGGGTGTGCGGTGTGCCTTTTTCCCGTAGAAGTATTTCTCAAAGCGGGAGGTTCTCATCCCACGCGTACCAGGCTGAGAGCAAAGAAACTGTGTGCAGAAAGGTGCTAAATAAAGTAAGTGATCGAACAGAGGAGAGGGAGGATGAAAGAGCTATGCTGATGCTAGTGTCAAAATAAAATGGGACAATTGCTTAAAACAAAAGCCTGGAACACTTCAATGTACTTGGAAGATTTAATTAGAACTACGTAGGCCTGATTCTCCACTGTATGTGCCTTACATAATCATTTAAGTTTTGCAAGGTATCCTATTGTAAGAAGGGGAGCAATTGACATCTTTCATCAAGAGTGAAAGTACCTGAATATTGCTGCATATTGTCAAGTAAAATACACATGCAATGCAAAAAAATGAAATGTGTCATGATGTCTGTGTTTGAAAATGGTTATGACAGAATGTGCAGCAGCTGAGAATCTCGAAACTCTTTCACTTTTATTTTGGCTGCTTGTACATAGTTCTCACTATTAACATATTATTTATTATTTGTACACCAGCAAATTACACAAATATATCAAGATTTGTATATGGAAATTCTTCACTGAATTTTAAGGCAAGTTTAGTTTTGTCATGTACCTGTTACAGTATACTATAGTATGTTGTAGTATCATGTATTATTGAGAAACTGTGATATATTTTTTCTCAAATACAACATACAAAGTTAACTAGCAAATTTTATGACAGAAGGGATTGTCATTATTTTGGTGGAAAAGATTTTATTTTCTTGTTCCCAGTTCACCATATGTATAATGTATACTTTTCTAGCAAATGTGCAGCAGGGCAGCAGGGAAGAAGGCCTTTTTTTTATACAGTCCTGGTTCTGCCCTTTGGGTCAGGTGGGAATTCTCTGGAAGGTGGGAGGTATCATTATCATACACGTAATATCCTTAATAAGCATGTTTAGATAAGCGTTTAGATACCTGGAGTTCAGGGTAACATTGGCATGCTTATAGCTAAAGACAACAGCAAAGACTGCACAGTGAAGAAGACAAGATTTCTCAGAGTTTATTATTATCACGTGTTTTATTGTAAAGCAGGTAGTTGCTGGAAGTTAGTGGTCTGGAAAGTGGGCGAGGAGGTAAAGATCTGATCTGTAAGAATACAATGGGCAAGACAAAATTGGTTTCAATTACATTTTCATTTACTTCTTTTCCCTAGCAGATCTGAATCTGCAGATCTGAATCTGCTAGGTATAAAAAAAAAAAAAAATTACCTTTCTAGTGTAGTGACTTTTGAGGGACTGCACTTTTGAGGGAACGTATTTTGCAAGTGCAGCGTCCCATCATAGTAGTCTTATTTGAATAATACTTAGATTTCCAGGAGTAAATTCTGCTGGAACTAGCATGATATCTTAAATGATTATCCAGCCTTGGCAGCTGTCTTCAGTAACAGAAATTTAGCTGTCTTTGGCAAGCTGTGCAAGGAGTTAATTAGCTTCAACTGTGTTGTACCTTCTGTTTGGTTTAGTGAATTTATCTCTCTTCTGTCCTTGTCTGTCATTAACTTTCTGTCTCCTTGACTGCAGTCTACATGGATCTTCAAGTTCTTCATTAATTTTTTTTAGGTAAACTCATTAGACACAGTTCCTTTTGTCTTTCAACATTTCAATGTTTTAATCATACTTCTGGTCTCCAAAGGCAGAGGGAATGTAATTTTTCTGTGCTGTGTTCCATTGATAAAAAATTGCAGGCTAGACTTTTTCATTCACTGTTTCACAGAGACTGTGAAAGTCTCAGAAGTCATGGACTTCCACAACAAGTCTCCATCCTGTCAACATGAATGGAATCATTTATTCCTAGATGCTTGCCACATGGAATCTTACTGTTCTTTGCATCTAGCTGAGGAGGTGAGCTAGGCCACCCTGTATTGATTTCTCTAGTACCTATGATTTTGACAATCCTGGCAGTACCAGCGTCCAAAGCAATACGGTACACCAGCAATTTTTGCCCTAGATTTTTGATAAAAATGTAATAGCAAGGAGGATCTAAATCTAGCTCAGTCCTACAGCATATTTAGTTCCACCTAGAGTGATACTGTAACCATCCCATCCCATGAATCTGGCTACAGCTTAATTTTAAAACTTTTTTTATAAACAGATTTTGGTGCATTTAATGAATGCCATTTTTTCCAATGCAATTTGTCTCAGCTTCCAGTTTTTGCCATAGATAGAGGCAAACACATAAAAACTATATAGTAGTGACATTTTTTGACTTAAAGACATCTAATAAAAAAAGAAACTCATTGAAAAGTTTGAAAGATCAGTCCTTTTACCGTGTAGGAAAAGCAGTCTGATTATGAATCTTTTTCAACGTTAAAGTCTTCAAAAAGATGACAGTGTTAACCCTAACTTATGAGATACAGGCGTTAGAAAGCTGACTTTAGAAACCAAGTGGTTTTTGAAAGCTCTGAATATCAGAAATATTGAAAATCTTTCTATTGAAGATTTAAAATTGTTTTTTTTAATTTGTAAACAGTGAATTCTATTACTAAAAAAAATAACTCAGACCGGGGGGATTTCAGTCAAAAATAACCCCAATATAACAACCCACGCAGCACTACAGGACTGGGGAAGAGTGGCTGCAAAAGGACCTGGGGGTGTTGGTCAACAGCTGGCTGAACACTAGCCAGCAGTGTGCCCAGGTGGTCAAGAAGGCCAACAGCATTCTGGCTTGTGTCAGGGATAGTATGGCCAGCAGGCCTAGGGAAGTGATTGTCCCCCTGTACTTAGCAGTGGTGGGGCCCTACCTCAAATACTGTGTTCAGTTCTGGGCCCCTCACTACAAGAAAAACATTGAGGTGCTGGAGCGTGTCCACAGAAAGGCAATGAAGCTGGTGAGGGGTGTAGAGCACAAGTCTCATGAGGAGCAACTGCTGCAACTGGGGTTGTTCATCCTGGAGAAAAGGAGGCTGAGGGGAGACCTTATTGCGCTCTACAACTACCTGAAAGGAGGTTGTAGTCAGGTGGGGGTCGGTGTCTTCTCCCAAGTAACAAGAGATAGGACAAGAGGAAATGGCCTCAAGTTGTGCCAGGGGAGGTTTAGGGTGGATATTAGGAAAAATATCTTCACAGAAAAGGTTGTCAAGCATTGGTGTAGGCTGCTGAGGGAAGTGGTAGAGTCGCCATCCCTGGAGGTATTTAAAAGACATGTAGATGTGGTGCTTAGGGACAGGGTTTAGTGGTGGTTTTCGCAGTGTCAGTTTAATGGTTGGACTCAATGATCTTAAAGGTCTCTTCCAACCTCAATGATTCTATGATTCTATGTTTAAGATACAATATATCTATGGTTCGGATGTGGTGGAAGTCTTGAATCTGTTTGGAAGCCTCCTTTGATACCACAGCCAATATCACACAGGTTTTTCCCAAGTAGAGTATAGGAAGGGATAAGAATTTTTTTTATTTAAGTGGTGGAGTTTGTGAATGGGAGAACTGTAGTTCCTAGGCTGGAATGTCTTTTAAGATAATTTACTAATGCATGTCCTGAGGGTCACATCAAACCATTTTCTTATTATAATTAGTGTGAAGGCAGAACAAGACTATCACAAATTTAATTAGATTGTCCCCATAATTTATGCTGTTGAATATTTGCTAAAACTGTTAATAAAACATCCATGTGCTCAAAATGTATAGAAATAGTCTTCTTGCAATGTCATCACAGCTGCACAGTTCCTTAAGACCATTTTGTCTAAATGTGCGCAAAAGTATAGTCATAGATATGTGTAAATGACATTTTTCAATATTTTGAATTATTTGAGTATTTTTCTGCTGTAAGTCAATTTTATTAATATTTGTCACACAGGAATTGTTGATACTAAAGTTCCCTTGAATGAATTTTAAGCAGTTTTTTGTTTTGGTTTTTTTTTTCTCCTTTTCCACAGATGCTTTTGAAGTATCTGAGAAACAAAATAACCACGTCTTTACCAAGCCAGGAGGAAATGTCGCTTTTACTTGCCCTTATAAAATTGGAGATTCAGTGCAGCAAGTGAAGTGGGAAAGGATTAAAGCAGATCAGGTAGATATTATTGTTCTGTGCAACTCATCAGGAAAGCAAAGCTTTGGTCCAGATTTCAAAGAGCGTACACTGGTGGATTGCTCTGATCAGGCAAACTCTATGATCGTCATTCAAAACATTACCGACTCTGACTTTGCAACATACCGCTGTGTAGCTACAGGAAGAAACAAAACCTATGTGATGAGTTTTACTGTGGCTGGTAAGTAAAGGAGGAAGTGATAAATATTTTTACAGTAGGACCTTCTGCGGTATTAGCACTTTTACCCTTATAAAATAACTCATCAATAACAAGTGAGGGTTTATTTATATACCACATTCCAATTAGAGCCTGTAAAAGACAGCAAAGTTAACAATTAATCTTGTTTCCAACAGAAAGAAGCTGGTTTTAAGGTTGTCTGATCTCATTATGGGACTTTAGACCTGTTTGTGAGAAACTTGTTTGATGTTAGGAAGGAGACGCTTTGGAAGAGGAGAGACTGCCCGAGTTTGCAGGGAGAGGTGGGCATTCTCCCAGAGAAGCCACGAGGGGAATTCCCCATTAGCAGAGTGCACCACAGGGTCCCCAGGCAGAGACCTACCCTCCAAAAAAGGCAAAGAGCACACGCTGATTTGAAAATGTAAAAATTTGTAAAACGGCCTCTACCTCATTCATGTAAAGAGTTTCCTTAGGGGGAGTTGAGAAGCTCTCCAGGTTTTGCTGTGACTATTGTCACAGTGTGATTATAATGGGAACTCAGGTCTCCATATGTAGACACTTAAAACAAGATTTCTCAAACTGTGAGCTGAATCCCTCCTTTACTTCTATTTTCTGTTATGACTGAAAAAAGCTCACTTTTGGTTCTTCTCTATAGCATGCATTTTGAAGGTGCCGTTCTTGTACCACCCCAGTCCTTCTCCTGTTGCAGAATTCAGTCCCTCTCTGTGGTATCTTTTGAGGGTACTACTTTTGTTCCTGGTAATAAATAACTATTAGTAGACCATTTGTTGGCACTATTAAGAGCTGTGGCATGGGGTATGAAACTTCAGAATATGTGTGATATTGTTATTCAGAAGTGGAGAACATGCTTGGGAAAAAAATGCTGACCTGCTTTACTCTGAATACTTGAACATAAAAGTCCATTAAATTGAGCAGAATGTGATGAAAAGAAAAGGGGTATCAGGAGAAAAATTCCTCTCACCTCTGATAATTTTAAACATTTGGATTTCAAAATGTTGACTGAATTCATATAATCAAGCATATCCAAATTGTAGAGCAACATAAATATTTCTTGTTTACTCCAAGTGCAGTACTGTTCATACTAAAATGAAACCATATAATGGTTTACATACAAAAATACAGTAACTTTAAAAATTGTCAGTTCTACCTACACAAATTATTTCTTCTCCAAAACAAAAGCTTAGTTTCCATGCTTCTTTTGCTCTTGAAACAAATGCTATTTATCATTTCTAGTGCTAACAATGCCAGCATGGTTATGCCTCTTTATGGGAGAAAAAAAGGTATGAAACCACTGAAGAAACTGAAGTACAGCATGATTCAGAAAATACCCCATTGTATCCCTTTTAAACCCTCACTCCATATTATGAAGTGCATTTGTTGAATTTTCATTAATTATAAAGCAAGTGGAGTGTCAAGGATTTCCAATTATTTCTCTTTAACATTTGGAACAGTTTCATAACACACAATTAATATTTCCAGTGAGATATGGGAAACACTAAGGGGAAAGGAGGGGCAGGCCAGGCAGCAGCAGCTCCCACTGCACCCTGTGGTAAAGCCAGTGAAGTCTCTTACAAACTCATAAGTGACTTTGCTTGATGCAACAGCTGTGGTTTGAATAAAACAAGTGGTGACAGAAACTTGCTACGCTATTTTTTATGTATGTTCTACCAGCTCAGTCACTTCATTTTCTTTGGCTCAGCGTTACAGCTAAGCTACACTCTAGCTTGGATTTTCTGCCAAACTCTTCCAATGTTTTTTGTCTGTTGGTGTGCTTCTGCATGGGTACTGCAAATCTTCTCACCTTGCCCAGTTCCAGGGATATTTTGAAATGCTCAGTCTAGGAGCTGAGAGGATAGCTGCACTGTAAACAGTAAACTCTGTTTATGTTAAAAGAGAGCAAGAGGAACAATAAGAAACTATTTTTTCCTTTTTTTTTCTTTTGTTTTGAGAAGCTGTCATTGAGAAGATGCCAAAAAATTTTAAAAAGGAGGAATCCTGGGTGAAAGGAGGTGGAAATAAGAGCACAGGATTATTTGCAGAACTGATAATAGTTCCAAAACTGCTAATTCAAAGAGGTGGTGCTGTAGAAAGAAGGAACTTCCTTCTTGTCTGAAGGTGAATTTATTTTTGCAAGGAGAAACAGCACCAAATTCCTATGAAGAAAAAAGGAAGAGAGAGGGAAAGGTATTCAGGTGTTGGGAAAGCCTGTGATATTCTTGCATTTGTATCAGTAGAAGTTGGCATGCTGCATTTAATGTTTTCGAACATCAGTGCAAATAAAACCATGAGATCCATTCAATATCACTAAGTTTGTCTGTTCTATCCCACTAAATATTGTGATTGTTGTTTTTCAGTAAGCTGAAATGGGTCTTCTGCAAATCTTTTTTGACCTCAAAACCTGGAACACATAAAGCAACATGCATATGTAAAGTAGTGTATCTTTTGTTGGAAAACACTTACAGAAACAGGAGGCTGAATATTACATAATTATATAATGTGTTCAAGAGACTTTGAATTAATTTCTGATGTGTTCTCCACCATATGTCTCCTTCTAAAAAGTCTATTAATATTCTATTAATATTCTATTAATATTAATATGGTCACCATGGCAGGTGACCTTATCCTAAAAGGATATCATATTAGTTAGACAGGACTTTCCCTTTTTGAATCCATGTTGACTGTGCCTTGAAATTGTCCTTTAAATGTCTTTCAATAGCAGCCAGTATGATCTTCATAGCACCCAGGTGAAAAGCAAGGGACTACTTGTTCAGTCATTGAGGGTTATCATAAAGTCCTTCTGAGCTGGGAGGAGGCAGCAGTACTTCTGTGCCATAGAAAACAGACAGAAAATAAAGCTGCGGTCACAGGTGAGGAGAATCAGGGTAGGAGTGAAATTACAGAATTCACAGAATTCACAGAATTCACAGAATTGTTAGGGTTGGAAGGGACCTCTGGAGATCATCTAGTCCAACCCGTTCCTTCTCATGTTAAGATGGAACTTCCTATGTTCAAGTTTATGCCCATTACCCCTCGTCCTATCACTGGGCGCCACTGAAAAAAGACTGCTCCCATCCCCCTGGCATCCTCCCATTAAGTATTTGTATGTATTAATAAGATCCCCCCTCAATCTTCTTTTCTCTAGACTAAAGAGACCCAAGTCCCTCAGCCTTTCCTCATAAGAAAGGTGCTCCAGTCCCCTAATCATCTTTGTTGCCCTTTGCTGGACCCTCTCCAGCAGTTCCCTGCTTCCCTTCTGTCTTCAGGAATTCATCCAATATGAACAAAAGATATTGGTCCATGTCTGTGGGTTTCTATTCAACAAACCACCTTTCTCTGGGCATAAATGCATTCGTGCTGGATTTCTGCCTTTCAGTTTTGGGCAAAATTATTTCAGTGATGTCTATTTAGCATACCATACGTGCCAGTCCAGCAAGGCATGTGACAAGTTACATGAAGATCCTTGCAGTGCAGTTCAAATCTCTTGTTAAAAGCAATAACTGTCTGGCCCATCAGTGCTTTCTCCTCAAAACCGAAGTCAGAGCGCTGAAGGTCGAAAACTTTCCCCCCCTCCAAATTTCACAATCTTGCAGAGAAAATGCCAAGGCTATGAAGATGGGGAAGAAAGGGACACGTTGTCTAATACTTAGCAGAAATTGTACTGATGCTGAAAATACACTTAATAGCCTCCCATCAGCATATCACCTTTGATGAGAACAGAAGAACTAAAGATACATATGACAAGCCTCTGACATGTTTCTGCAAAATCTTGAATGTTATGTTAAAGTCAGTAATTGCAAAAGGTTTTGTGTAGTTACAGAAAACAAATGCTTCAGGAAGGCTTTGCTCACTTCAAATGAGAAAAGGCAAAAGGCCTTTGAGTTGTTGTCAGTTCTAAAAAAAAATCTAATGATTTTTCTTATCCAAATTTAACTGACAGCTGATAATCTCAGCTTTCAAACTCATTAACTCAGAGATTATTATCTTGACCTGATAAAACTGAAGGTGAAACTTCAGAAGAAAAATGAGGCCTGGAGTGCTTAGGCTGAAGGGTGGGGATGCTGCTGAAGTCTGGAACTCTATCCAGATTCACTTATCCTTGATGATAATTAAATATAAGATTTTAAAAATTTTTCTTTATTGCTTACAGGATGTTTTCTTCTTATTTCTGTTAAGTACTCATTGGCATAGATAAAGATTTTCTGTGGTGGGTAGCTAAACACTTGGAAAAAAAATTTACAATTTTTCCTGAATTTGGACATAGCTATATGTACCACCCTGTCATCTTAAGTACACAGTAGTTTAAGACATGCTGCAAGTAGAGTGATTTCATATGCAGTTATTATACAAAAGACATCAGGTTTTGTTATTGGGCAGCTGTCTCTATTGTGTCACATACCTTCAGCAGCATAAACTTCTGAGAGAATTTTCTTTCTTTTTTTTTTTTCCCGTAAAATAACATTGGAATTCAAGGATAAGAAACTTCTGTAATTGGTATTTTTGGTTATCCTTTCCAATGAGCACATTAATACCAAAGAGGTGTACCTGAGCAAGTCTCAACTGGTATTAAGGACAGCCAGATAAGTAGCTGTCAATTTTTTTGATCCAGGAGAGAAAAGCCACCTGGCGATAGCTGGTTAGCTGGGATTACTGTCCTTCGCGATACTGATTGTTTTCCTTTGTCTGTGAACTAAGCATGTAACTTTCTTATCTAACCAGAATGAAAGCTCTTTGAGGTAGTCATGGTTTCATCTTCAGATGCTATCTGCCTCTGTACAGTGTGCAGAACATTGAAGAGGGTCTAATCTGAAGACAGTTTTTTAGTCCCTGTTCACCAAAGAATGGCTAGAGTTTATCTGAAACACAAGAAACAAGTTTGTTGCCATAAGATATCACCACCATCTCTTGTAATAAGCAATGCAAGAGGCATTACTCCTTTTCCATGCCAGGACATCCTCACTTTTCTGTGCTTCTTGTTTTGTTTTACTCCCACATGTTGAGAAACTGAAGAACATGCAGGAAATAATTCTTTTTTGGCAGTCGACTGGGCAGAGCCACATGCAATGCTTGCCTCCTCAAGACATTGCTGACACATAAGGTCACTTGAGACTGCTAGAAGTTGGTAAGATCATCTGGCTAAGACGTTTCCTGTAGGAGCTGATACTGCCAGTCACAAATACACTATGTATGGAAATGTTCGTTACATACTATTTGTGTTTGCTTGCTTTTTGTGCTCTAGTCCCAAGCCTACAGAGCAGTAGTGCAGAGATGCGACAGAGAGGCAGGAAGCAGGGCACTGTGGTGGGCTGCAAAAAGGTGATTTAAAATTTGGTGGTTTAACACACTCTTCTTTTTTTTTTTTTTTTTTTTTTTAGTGCTACCACTAGCCAAGTTTGGAATTGTGACAAGAAAAAAAATCATAAGTGTTTTAAATGCACAACTGTACTGAAGACTTTTGTTGTGGGCTTCCTGTGCGACTTTGAGTATATTACCTCTGTTCTTTCCTCCAGCTTTTTCCACTGCAAAAATGAGACATTACCTCTCCGTAAACTTGGGCACGATAAGAATATATTGATTTATACCTTAAATCTGTTGTCTTGTCTGTCTCTACCCTTTTGTTATTACATGTTGCCCCTTAGCTTCATTTGAAGATGTGACTCCATACTGAAGAAGTCAATGCATTTTAAACAAAGTTACTATAAATGTAACTTTTCCTGACTTGACTGTAATTGCCAAAGAAAGCATTTTTGCTTAGGCTAGAACAAATAGGGTGGGTTTCCTGACATCCATCATCAAAGCATGTAAAGTACAAGGTTATCAAAAAAAAAATAGCGATCACAATGGGAGAAATTTTTGTGGAAATATTTTTGTTAAAACATGGACAGATTTCTTTATGAATTAGAGTGGAAAATAACTGATACAGCTGTGTTCAGTACTGAATAGAAAATCTCTTGATGACTGAGATGATCTGCCTGGTACTCTGAAAAATATCTTGTTGCCCATCGAAGTTATGGCATGAGTGTTAGGTATCTCTTATGGGACAACCTTTACAACGCCAAGAACATTCACTTAAATAATCTCAGTGTTTTTATTATCCATATATTGAGTCACTGATGTATGGACTGCTTTCTTACCAGGGGAGGGAAGGAGATGGGAAAGGATTACACAAAGCATCACTGTTTTTTTCATACCATTGTGCTGTGTTCACTCACCTTTGGTCATCCCAGTCCCAACTTTCATAAGAGTGAGTTCAGCATAACAAAAGCATTTTAGAAATGAGGAAATGGTTATGAGGTCTCAATATTGAGCATGAGCTGTCATGGAAGTAGGTGTCTACATAATTGTTGATTTTCAACTTAGTTTGTCATAAAAAGTTCATGCTGGTTTATACAAAATACTAATCATATTTATTACAATTGTATTTTAGCAGCTTGGGATGGTAAATGGTTTATTATCTACATAGCTGGAGGAATTTCTGCTGCTGTCTTACTGTTAGTTTTCCTACTGATCTTCTGCATCACCACTGCTTATTGCAAAAAGTGAGTAACAAACCAGTTTGCTTAATATATTGAAGCACGTAAGTATGAAGGTGTTAACAGCTCATCCTACTATCCTCTTCAGAGGCAATTAAAGAAAAGGTAGATGTGAAAATTGAATTTTCTTGCCAAAATTTTAAACATGAAAAAACTAATCAGTTCCACAGCCTATGAAAGAAGTGACTTTTTTTTTTTTTTTTTTTTTCACATTAGGAAAACAAATAGCTTACTCATTTTCCTTAGTAAGCTAATTGTTTACAATGGTATTAGCTGAAACTTCATGCCAAGGGTGATTTGTCAGGAATAACATAAACTTAGGCATAGGCTGTTCCTATTTTGTGCATGGAGAAGGACAGGTGATGACTTGAGGTTTTCTACATCTTCTAGTATTTTTTGTCTTCTGATTTTATGTTCCAAATTTGCTCACAGCTGGAGCCAAACTAATATTTTAAACCATTATCTAAGTTTGCTGAATTCCTTGCCAAATATACACTAGTAGTCTGATCCAGAATCTCTGCTTCCGATGTGAGCGGAAATAGTGAACAGAAAAAATATTTCTTCCCCTACCACAATATATAAGGCTGCTGGAACTTGTTGGCAATATATTATTGCATTTTCCCCTGAATCAAAGGGCCTTTTTAATCTGTATCAAGGCTTTTAAAAAACACTGGTAATCTCATGCATGTTACAGTTTGCAAGTCAGAAGAAAGACTACTTGGATTTTTATTGTATTTATTGGTTTCAGTGGGAAAGTAAGCAATAGCAGCATCTCTCTTGTATGCTGGAATTAGATATTTTGGACTATACTGTCATGTATGATGCAGTTCCCTGCACTGTGTTTCTGACTGAATGTGTGTTGTCAGAAAGAAGAGGAAGAGGATCACAGAGGCCTTATCAAAAGCTTCATACTCTACTCAGACCCTGGTAAGATCAGCTGGAGCGTTGGAGTTTACTCGTATTTTGTACTGTATATTTAACATCTTTCTTTCTGTATCTGCTTTTCATATCCCTTGAATCTTACAGTCTAATCTTAAACTATACAGACAGGAAAAATTGAATGTTTCAAAGTACTATTATTGCTATTCACTATTTTTTAATTAATATTCTTTAATAATTTACAGCTACATTTAGAGACCCTACTGTGTTCTGTGTTATTAACAAATTAACTCTTTTGGTTTGCTAGCTTTTGTATTATTTCTGTATTGTTAACATTTTTTTCCTCAAGTCACAACTTGTAAAATTGAGGCAAAAAATTGTATCCCGTGATACCCTTTTTCTTTATCTATTTCTTCTCGTTCAGCTTCACTATAATTCATTGGGACAGCTGTTTCAGTGCTTCTGCTTTCTTTTTGTATTGTAACAATCAACATTTTGGAGCTCTGATCCTTTCCCCCCCCACCCCCCATCCCCACCCCCCTTTAATCCTATTCAAGGCCTGAAGTTTAGAAGTGGAAAGATAGGAGCCAACTTCATTGCTTGTGCGTTATCCTCTGCATAGCCCAAGTTGGGGTATGAAGTAATGTCGTGCTTAGGGAAATGACCTCATTCTCACAGCGGATGTGAGACTTTAGCTTTCCACCTGTCTCCTCCCAGATGGCCCTTCTGTATGATCCAATGGTGAGCTCCACTGTAGATATGTCCTATAAAGCCTTTTGACCTCCTGCTATTTCCATTTCTCTCATTCTGACTCTTGGGTCACTGTTTGTACCAGAATGACACTCTTCCTAGGGTGACCATATTCTCGGAACTAGCCATTTGCTTCAGAAACCATCTTTCCTCCCACGCCTGTCAACCAAGGCACCATCACATTAAGTTGTCTTAATGCCATGACTAATTCTTAGCATGGTTGAGACCTTTAGAGTAATTCATGTTTTAAGGTTGACATAGGAGACTATTTCAGCGAGGGGAAGGGGGCACTCTGCTGGTGCTTTACCAGGCACCTGATGTGGGACAGCTGGGAAACACATTCAAAGTGCAACTTCTTTTTTCATATGAATTGAACCTGAAATGTATTCGTAGAAAACAAGAAGACAAAAAAAATTTTGACTGATGGTTGAATATTTCCCAATAATTAATCAGCATATGAGGAAAATTTGTCCTTTTTCTCCTTTTTCAAAGCTGTAGCTGTTTTGAGAAAAATCCTTCAGCTTTTTTTTTTTTTTTTTTTTTTTTTTTTTTTTG